ATGTGGTTGCCAAGGGTACTTCTAAGACTAACTAAGTTGGATTTCAGATCAGTGTAATAAGAGACATTTTCCAACGGTTTGGCAAATCCATAAATGGAATGAACTGCTTTGACAAAGTACTGACTGCTCCATTTCTGGAGGTGAAGATAAGAGCCTGACAGACTCCATCAAGGATGTCGTGAATGGATTCATAGATGAGATTACTTCTAAAAATGTTTCCAAGGCAAAGGTTTCTATGAGCCTGTGAAAACAGTATTTGGCCTAAATTCATTTTTTTGTAGCATCCTCTAATATATTTGTTACGTGTTGTGCATTCATATTGCTGATGTAGAAGTTTAAAAAAAGAAAAAGACTTGTGTTGCTTTATTCTAATTTTAATAAAATAATGATGATACTTTTCACTTATGCAGCACTTTTCATCCAAGGATTTCAAAGTGCTTTACAAATATGCACTAATTAAGCCTCAAAAACAGCCAGAGGTAGGTGGTCTTTTTCCCTTTCTACAGGAATGCCAACTCTGGCACAGAAATTGAAAGCCTGAGAGCTCGGATTCTGTAATGACTGCCGCTCCCTTGTAATGTGCTGCATGTGAAGCGTCGCTTGTCATTTGCAGATTCCTTTTTTTCCTGCCCTGAATCATCTCAAGTTTAGAATTCTTTAGAATTCTAATAAATGTTGTTAAAAATTTGTTGTCTTATAAATAGAGAAGATTCGGTCGTACACGCTTGCTGAATGCTAATTAGATTGCTAAATTTGTTTATTTAAAAACAAACTCTAGATGAGATTTTGGATTTGTTGTTCAATTTTAAATATAATTTTCACTTTTAAATAACTTGTCATTTTCCTTCTAGCTACCCTAAAATCACTATTCTTGGAACATAAAACTTAACAGCAGATTCATTGCTCTTACCATTCCTAGTTGTCTTCTCACAACAAATAATAACTGTTTTCTTTGAACCAGAATTATGTATGTTTAAGAAGAGACACTACATTTGGTAATTGAGAGTTATCTAACCATTAAGGATAAAGGTTAAATGATACTAAGTGACTAGTCCTATAGAGAAAAGGTAGTGCAGTATTGGCATATGGTAATCTAGGGGAGCATACAGCTTTATATGTGGGTTAAGAGTAGCAGAAAGAGAATGTGCACAGACAGAGATGCACACGATGAAGGATTGGATTAAATTCCAATACAAATAGTCAAGCATGCAAACTCTGATCTGAAGCAAAATGGTCACAGCAGGCAAGAGCCAATACAGCATATCACCGCTTCGTTTCCCTTGGTTCTGAGGCCCTGGTGGGGGCATGTAAGTGCGTGTGATACTGTTTAACTCAGATCTTTCTGGATGAGGAAAGTACAATTTTGCTGAGACACTGCCTTTTATACTCATGGTTTCTATCCCTTCCCAGAAGAACTTCCATAAAGAATCTACCTGCTCCAGTTTAAGGAAAACTTACTCTTAGGCTTTCCTGGTTTTGAACAAGACTCACCATTAGCAAGGCTACATCCTTATCCCAAAGACGAAAGTTAAGAGTGAAGAGTCTACATATTCCAAAAGAATAACTGTCTCCAGGTTTTAGCATCGCAGAAAGCCCAGTTTCCCCACTGCATTAGAAAGAACCAAATAAGAGAGATTAAAGAAGCAGAATATTCTATTTCAGAGTGAATTTAATTATATGGATATAGGATCTTCCATCATACAAAAGGACCCAGGACCTATGTGAAAGTACCCTCCAAACTGATCATAATACTTTAAATATCCTTTTATTTAAATAGCAAGTTGATCTGTGATATATGATAGATAATTCCAGAAAAGGTCATTTTAAGAGTTAGTTCCAAATTTTCTCTTTTGAAAATTTTTCCCAAATGATGCACATGGCAGTTCAAAGAATTAAATGGTGTCTCTGGGTGAATTGTTGACTGCATGAATAGAACTTTATCACAGCAAACTTAAAGACTACTTTTCAAGTCCTGAGACTTACAGGTTGAGAAACTCAGCCTCATCAGTGTTCAAGGGTTGATCCCTCACTGATTTGGGGGTACAGATTCTTATCAGCAATGTGCATGTTGAAATTAAGAGGAGGGAAACAGCATCCCTTTAGTAATTTACAATGAAAGGCATAGCCACCATGCATCTGGGGTTAATGTGTGCGTTTATTCTTCACCGTGTTGGTAAACCACATGGGAAAACAATCAGAAATTTGCCTACTAGTCATAAAAATTAAAAAAAAAAAAAAGAGAGTTACTCAGTTTGAATGTAGAATGGTCTCAGACTCAGAGAATCTGTGAAGTCCCCTTCCTCAATGAGGACAAGCCTACTAAAAAGGTCAGACACTCCTGATGGTGTTTTAGGTCACCAAGTAAATGCTTGAGTTGCTACTACCAACAACATTGCAGCTGAGAAGCACATCTAGTGCCAACATGGCTGTCATACTCCCTCCTGAGGATCATCTTCTTTTAGATAGAATTACAGCGATATTGCTAACATGTCCTGGTGAGATATTCTGCTTTGTAAATGCCTTTGCATGTTTCTTCACTGATTCCCTGAGCCTCTTGTTTCCAAATTATTGAATGAGATGTCACCATAGCCCCTAAATTGCAAAATGAGGGGAAAAAATAGCTAGAGTTTTACTTAAGTTTATTGCCATTCAGCCTTAGAAGAGGCATTAAAAAAAAAAAAAAATGTAAGGAGGCTGGGTGCAGGGTGACTCAGGCCTGTAATCCTAGCATTATGGGAGGCCAAGGCTACATGTTGCTTGAGGCCACCAGTTTGAGACCAGCCAGAGTCAAGAGGAAACCCTATCTCCACAAAAAATAGAAAAAGTAGTTGGGTGTGCACTCTAGTCCCAGCTACTTAGAGGCAAGAGAATCACTTGAGCCTAAGAGTTTGAGGATGCAGTGAACCATGATGACACCACTGCAATCTAGTCAAGGCAGCAGAGTAAGACTGCCTCAAAAGAGAAAAAATGTAAAGGAATGGTTAAAGCAAGATAATAAGTAGAAAGTTGAAGAAGGAATAAGTTGGAATCACAAGCTATATAATCAGCACATATCACTGAGAATTTTTAAACACTTGAGTATTTCATTAACCTTACTACTGCTTCAGGAGAAACATTTTCAACAACTTTCTCTCAAATTTTATTTTACTTTATTTTATTTTTTTTTGAGACAGAGCCTCAAGTGTCCCCCTGGGTAGAGTGCTGTGGCATCATAGCTCACAGCAACCTCCAACTCCTGGGCTCAAGCAAGTCACCTGCCTCAGCCTCCCAAGTAGCTGGGACTACAGGCACCCACCAGAATGCCTGGCTATTTTTTTTTTTTTTTTTTTTTTTTGGTTGTAGCCGTCATTGTTGTTTGGCGGCCCGGGTTGGATTCAAACCCGACACCTTAGGTGTATGTGGCTGGCGCCTTAGCCACTTGAGCCACAGGCGCCAAGCCTCTCTCAAATTTTAAACTAATACAGGTTCAGTGTCTTAGTTCACTGACTCCATTAACTTTTGAAACATCTTTGAAGTTACTTCTAAAATAATATGGCTGTCATCAGAAAATTTTACCTCTCTCCCATAGGACCAAAGGAAGAAGTGGTATTTTTATTTTTACCATTTCAAAATAAAATGCAGACAAAAATTTCAACCAACCTAGAGAAACTATAACAGAGTTTTTGACATAGAGCCCCCAAAGTTTGATTTGTCCATCATTACTTAATTTAAATGCTGACCTGAAACCTACAAATGTATATTCAGAAATTCTGTTTTCCTGAAGGGTAGATTCATATGAACAATATGTATTTTGGTTCTTTACATTTGCTTTTTAGTTCTCTGTTGATTCACCACATGCACGCATTATTTAAAACCTTAACATTTTATAGTTACTTGGAAGTGTTTCAACTTACTCTCACTTTGAGAGGAAGTTAGTGCCTATGTGAATATATTATTTAATCACACTGAGATTTTGTTAGCAAAGAAAACTCATCTAGTACAATCTCAAATAATTTTAAATTATTGAAATATAATTTTTCAAAGTTTACATTTCTATATTATAAATGGTTTCCTTTGATTGGAAGTTAAACTTACTAGCATTCACTGCATGAGCTATGCATGAGCATGTTATAGCTGCCATATTTGCCTGGAAAAAGAAATATTTTGTCATTTTTCTGAGTGTTCATATTTCCCTGGTCCTTAAAAAGGGCTATGGAGAACAGATTTTCCTCTAAATAATTTAGTAAAAGACCAAAGAATAATTTTTTTAAATTATCACAAAGTTTATCTATGCTTCAAGCTATCTGTACAACTCTGAAGTTATCTCTGGGCTTGTTATTTCTGAAAAAAAGTTGAACCAGAATTTATAATTGTCTTGCTGTCAGACAATAAATGTATATTATTTAAAAATTTTTGTATTGAGGATTCAGAAGAAGGATTTGCAGATCAAATCAGGTTAATTTTCAACTTTGTAGAATGCTTTGTCTTGTTCTTAATCATAGGTTCTCGGTATGATTTGGCCCTGTATGAGAATTCACTGCTATAATTCAAATTTCATGCTCTAATAGTGGATTAGTCCTATATCTTCATATGAAAGAGATCTTAATAGTATTAGCAAAAGTCATTTTATTACAGTTTTATCATTCCCTAGCAATATATTACTGATGATTGCTAGCATGTATAATATTTTCATATTTTGGCTTAAGAGCCACATATAAAGAATTTGTTAACAATTTCTGATCTGATTCTTTTTTTTAAATATTACCTACTGACAGAGATTTCTGACATTTTTAATGCAGTTAAAAAGTAAATATTTTATTATGTACATTTTTAATGGCTGTATTAACCTGAAGAAGAAAAAAAGAAGACATTAATGATACCACATAAATCATAATGATACCACCTAATGCCACTGTTAGGAAGAGCATCTTGGAGGTATAAAATTCTAGGCCTCTTACTTAACCTGTATTGTTGGACGTGTAAGGAAGATTATAGCTTATCATTCCTTTTTGTCTTTTCAGCCTTGGAATGGATGGCTTTGGCCAACCAGTTGGCATTCTTGGACGCCCTGCCACAGCTTACGGATTCCGCCCTGATGAACCTTACTACTATAGCTATGGATCTAGATAAAGTCATCCCTTTCCATGAGTACCCTCAGTTTAGGATAAATCTGTGTGGGTTGGGTTAACTTTGAATCTTGGCCTAATAATGCATGTTGATACTATTGTGGGTCTGTGTTTCTTTTATTTTTCAATGTTGTTAGCGGCAGATTAATTCCAACCTCTCTGTCTTCTTTTAAGTACAGTCGATGGTGACGCTGTTCACTCATCCAGTCACATCTTGATGCTGAATAACATTTCCCATTAGACTCAAAGTGAATGTTGAAAACTACTAGACTGGAAAACAAACACTACATTATGTACATTAAGTGACTAATTTAATTTCTATTAAACGTAAAATGCAAATGAATGAAAGTCCTGTGTTTGTATTTAATGAGTTTCATTAGGAGTTACTTGCGTATGTAGGGTGCACGTAACTTTTATGTTTTCCTGCCCTTTTTTCTTGCTTGTTAATTTTTGAATATTTCATGTGATATGTTTTACCTTTAAAATCAAGGCCAAGGCAAGTAGATTACCTGAACCCACAGGTTCGAGACCAGTTTGTTCTGAGCCAGAGCAAAACTTCATCTCTAAAAATAGCCAGGTGTTGTGGTGGGTGCCTGTAGTCCCAGCTGCTTGGGAGGCTGAGGCAAGAGAATCACTTAAATCCAGGAGTTGGAGATTGCTGTGAGCTGTGACACCACAGCACTCTACCAAGGATGACAAAGTGAGACTCTGTCTCAAAAAAAAAAAAAACTGTATAAAGAACATCACCTTTTTAATCCCATGCCACATGCCTGAAAGTTTCCTTCCCAAAGTTACCAATTACAAGCTGTCAATTAACAGTGGACCATACGCCATAAGTTATGTTATTTATGAGTATAGACTCTTCAGCAATGTGAATTCATGGCTTTCTAATTGTAATATAGAAAACCGGGGACAACTAATATAAGTAATAGAGGATCAGAATTGAGCTTTCAATTTTTATTCTCAATGAAATTTAGTTATCTAAAGTATAGAGAAGCTAATTAAAAGCTTCATCAAGGAAAAGTAAGGAACAGAATATTTTACTCACTTAGGTATTCATTTCTCATTTGTTCACTTATTTTTATATAGGTAGCAAGAAATAGACATTATGATTTAAAAGGAGTGTTGAAAATAACTCAATGCTATAATATCAAAAAAGACTTGAAAAACTAAGCAAATAAATAACCATAATCAGAGATGTCCCTTGATCATCTGCTATGGAAAGAAATAGGAGGCTTCAAAGGGAATGCACAGATCAAAGACAAGACTTCTGTCCTTGAATTTAAAATGTCATTGATCTAACTACACTATTTATTTAGCTTAGCTTATATTTTTTAAATAAAATACTAGAGTAGGAAAGAGCCTCTGAAATAACTTAGTCTATGTACTTATTTGAGAAACCGATCTCATAAAAAATTTAAATATGATCAACAGATACTCTCTTAACTACCTGCTATGTGTCAGGAAGTATATCATGTTCCCTAGAGATACGGTTTGTGCCTTTAGCAGAACTGATCTTTTGGAAAATATATATCTATTTGTCTTAGTTCCAACTTTAACCAGAAATTTTTTTTTTAACCACAAAATCTGTTCAACAACAAACAAGTAACATAAGCATTCAATGGAATTTTTATTTTCTTTATAGTTGACTATGGAATAATGAAATGACAGAATGTTCTATTTTGAAAGATAGCTGAATAAAACACCTGGAGCCTAATTGATCTGAAATGTGCAAAATAGTTAAACCAGTAGATTAGGGAGGGTACTACAACCCCTGGGAGGCTGAAAAGAGCCTTACAAGAACTCTCACTTTGACAGTTGATAAAACTGTAGCCAAGAAGGGTTACATGATTTGCCTATGCTTATATATTTAGTCAGTGACATAGCCATGTCTCCTGGTTCCAATTCAGCAATTGCCATATTTCTTGCTTTATTATTTGCCATATGCACAAAGTGTAAATATACACAAGCGGCATTAATAGGAAAATAAACGTTCTATAGCTTTAACTTCTTGTTAACTGTTATACACTGCTTTATGAAGAGCATCCCCCCAAATTCACAGCACTTGCAGGGCTGTGCTCACTGAGGTCTCCCTGCACGTGCTCACTCTCCCTAGATATTTTTTTCTAGGACTTTACAAATTTGGAAATGTAGGCTTTCTGGTCAGGCATGAACTGGCTTACCATTATATTACTTATGAAGGAAAGTTTTGCTATAGAAATCAACAAAGAATATCTAAAATTATTATATATTTATGAAACAAAAGCTTTTGTCCTTGGGCACTTTTAGGAATACTATTTATATAGTAAGTCAAATATCCTGGCCTTACCAGATTGCAACTATAAATTCAGATCACATTTACTTTAATAAGTAAATTGCCATGGCATCAAGCCATGTTTTATAACTAGAAATTATTTCTTCTCGAGTGTTCTTTGCTCTTTGAGAGTTTGCTGTAGTGGTTTCTCACATGGACAGGAATTGTTTTCTCATGTTCTGGTTCCTGCTATGACCCCCATATATATGGCTTTCTCTGTATTGGTCATCTTTGTGAAATCTGCCCCCTATCCTGAGGAGAACCACTACTACATCTACTCTGGACTTGGAGAAGAAGACACTGCTCTCCTCTTTCTTACTCACTTCCATGTGTGTGGCACATGCGTTGCTTAATTCTGCATAACACAACAGAACTGAAGCTGTATCATGACTTTACAGAGATGTCAGTAATAAGGGAAGAGATAGACAAAATAACTTGCCACTATTACAAGAGCCAACAGTCACAAAGCTTGCAGCTGGCCTGCAGGCAGGGCCAACTTACTCCGTGCCACTAGGAATACCCTGGCATTAGAACTCAAAAACTAGGCCAAATTGTTGGAAGGCACCCAAAAAAAGAATGTTTTTTCTTGGGACCCGCTGAAGGCCTACTTTCAGAATCTTTGTTTCTTCTTCCAAGATTAATTTTTCCTAGTTACCTGGGCATTAGGATTTTATAGACTCTGTATATTTTAGGTCAAGACAACACGGTCTCAGGGGTTGTAGATTTTTCACATACTTCTTCTACCTTTTTTATCTCAAAGCAAACGCAGCTCGGAGCCCGGAATCCAAGTGTGGGCCAGTAAGTCAATACTGTTTGTTGTTACTTTTCATCAGAAGTCCTGTGTACCTCAATGCTGTGTTACCTCAGAAGTGGTTCCCTGGGATTTGATTTGGCTTTCACTAATTTAGACCCTATATCTTACATTTCAGTTATACATACAGGTGGTATCCAACTCTCAGAATATTGAGTGAGTCCACCTTCCTAACACTTACACGAAAGGATTCCTGATGGAAATAATTCCTGTTCTCCAAGTTTTCCTTTTTACAGGCTTATAGTTCCGATTAGGACGCCTATGTCATTATCCCATTTATAAGCCTCTCCTTCATCAACTTGGTATCTATGTATATTGCCAGTGCTTTTGATAGTTCATTTTCCCAAACTGATTTGACATTGATTATGTAGGGATTTTATTTCCAACGACTTTACCATATGGTCAACCCATTAGCTACAGCCCAATGATCACTTGGTGTCTTATAATGTTTGCATTAAAAATGCCAGAACTAAACATATTGTGCCAGCCCCTTCTATGATGGAAGGTGGGATGGAAGGCAAGCCTAGTGTTTAACCTCCCTGCAGGCTACAGTGCCATTACTATCCTTGACACACAAGTGGTCTTTATATTTCCACTGTGAATCCTTTTAGGTTTGTTTTCCTTTAGTGGAGGCTCCCTTTGGTGTCAGTTGGCATGGCCATCCCTTGGCATAGTGGAGGACCAGTATTTGGCTTGCCGCCCCTATGAGTGTAATACTTTGGACCTTTCCTTAAAATGCCATTGTTATTTTAATTGGATCAAGATCTGCGTCCTCCCTTTGGCAGGTTCAAAGTTTAATCCAAAGTATAATTAGAAACTTTGTTGCTATAGCTACAAGTACCAGACCCATAGGCCTTCTAACTCAGGTCCAACTAGAGAGAAAATGGTTGTTTTTTTAAGGATATAAATTTGTTTGTGTCTTCTGGAATTCCTTACATCAAAATCCCCCTGGTGGCTATTGATCCATTCCTGACCCTATCGGGATCATCCACAGATCTAAGATCCCAAATCCGCAGTGAGTGATGCCACTAATGAAAATCCTGGGTCTGATAGGGTCAGCTACTTTTAATTGGTCTTATATCAGTCAGAGTTTCATCAGAAAAACAAAACCATAATGAATAATGTAGCACATGGAATTTATTATAGGATTAGCTCTTATATTAATACAATTTTGCTACCATTGTACAAAAGGGTACATTTCATTCAAAGGAAATGAAAATGGGCTCTAGCTAAAGAACGTTCCTTGACCCTAGAGTAAAGGGAACTGGCAAATGTGCCTGGCAACATTTCTGATTTGCTGTGAACCAATAACTGCCACATGTCCCTAATAACTTCCCTTTTTGAGTCAAAGTGTCCTTCCTGGTTATCCTGAGCCCAACATTGTAGGTGGAGAGTGATTAGGAAAATCACTCCTCTTAGTTCACAGGGTTCTAGATTAACAATAGCCCCACTACAGAAGAACTTGAAGACCACACGTGGGGAGCTTCATCCATGCCTGCATGTGATTTTGATGATGAAACTTGAAGTTTAAACCGGAATCTAACACCTTAATGGTGTGAGACTGGTTGGGGAGGTGAGCATATTTTGTATGTGGACTGAATGTAAATCACAGTGGCACAAGGTACTATGGAACTGATTGGAAAAGACGTATCCTCTATTTGCATCCTCTGTTTCCTCATTCCTTGACATTGAGCACTCCTTATAGCTTGCTTCCGTCACCAGAATGAGACAGGAATGATGTGTGGTGAGTTCTGGGGTCTTTCTCTCAAGCCTTGCAGCTTCTGTCTTTCCCTTTTGGAGTGCTCCTTGAGACTGCTGTCCTGGGAGGGAACCTGGAGAGAAGCCCAGCCCTTGCAGCTGGCTTGTGATCAGGTTGCAGTCACGTGAGTGAACCCAAGTAAGACTAAAAGATGGACCTATAAAACTGTGAAAAGTAATAAATTGTTGTTTAACACCTCTGATTTCTGAGCTGGTGTGGCAGATCACACTTTCAAAAGATGGCCCCCACAGTGCATTTCATCCCACGTTCCCATCTTAATATGATATACTCATTTCTCCATTTTGTGATAAAGGCTATATCCCTTGGTAGCTGTTTTGGACTGTCTGAATCAACAAAGTTAGGCAGAAGTGATACTACATAACTTCCTTGGCTAAGTCATAAAATATATTTTCACTTCTGCCTTGTTCTTTTGGAACCAAATACTATGCTATGGAAAGCAGAGC